CCACTAATAAGAACCCCAACAGTAAAAGTTCCATTGTGTTCATTTACAACTTCACTAAGAGGTTTGTAGACTGGAATGCCCAATCCTCTACGCTGAGACCAAGTTTGTAGTTTATTGATTGGATCCTGAAGATCAGAGTGTAGAATCATATCAGGGGACTCTATTGTTCCAGTTGATGTTGACGAAGAGTCGGTTTTGGACACCTCTTGTTGACATGTTAGTGCTGTTGTCTGCAGGGAGCGAGTCAACTCGTTAACCGCCGGGGATAGCAAAGGTTCCATGAACTCCTGAACAGCAAACATGCTTGAACCGGAATCAAGAAATACGGCGCCAATATATGCCTCGAATGCATCCTCTAAAACCTTTTCACTAGTTCTTCCACCATTTCTCAAAGCTCCAACACCTAGACGGATGTCTGTGTCCAGGCCGAGTTGAAGAGCAAAATGTGCCAACTTTTTCTTACATACTAGATTTGATCGTAGTAAAGTAAGCTGTCCCTCCTTAAAATGAGGGAAACGACCAAACAAGTAGTTAGCTACAACAAATGAGACGATAGAATCACCCAAGAACTCCAACCGTTCATTATGAGGACCGGTCGAAGGATTTTCATAATGAAAAGATTTGTGAGTAAGTGCCTCTAAACGTAAATTATCATCACGAAAATTTCTTTGGCGAGGTATTGCTGTCATTTTTTTTTTTGATTCCGGTAAGTATTGTATAGGAGGAATGTGATGAGAATTTGCGTTCTTGGTTATTGCAGACGCCACAAAAATTTTCAGGGGCTAAATTTACCTTCCAGATGCAAACTCGAGCATCGTCTTATATATATAATTTTTTTTTATTATTTTGTAATACTTGATTTTTGGTGTATAAATTGCATGCATTCCTACTTATAAATAGCATTTATGACTACAAGATCTACAAGATTTAGATTGTAAAAAAAATATGTCGTATGATAGATAGATTGTAATATTAATAAATATAATACTGTACTCGATCAATAATATTTTATACAATAGCATATTAATTTACTTTCCGATACGATAAACTCAATAACATATAGTATCTGCTTTTAAATTAGATAAAAAAAAATTTTTTTTTATTGTAAATTAATATATAATATTATATAGTCTCTAATACTATTAACTAATTATTATTTTATTTTTTTTTATTAATTACTAATTTTTTTATTAATATTATCAATTTATTTAATAATTTCAAATCAGATTAGATAAATAAAACAACTATAATAGCAATATACTTTAAATTGAGGAAGAATATATCAGTTATAATATATTAAAATTAATAATTTAAAGATAGTAAAGATTATATAATCATATTGAAAAAGATTTTAGGTGATTTGATTTAAATAAAAAAATTTATTAAAGATATATAATATTAAGAAAAAAAATTTTAATAAGTAAAATCTTGAATCAACAATTTTGAACAATTGGCTTTTATATATAATAAATAATTATTAAGTAATCAAAATAATTAAATCTATTGAATTTATTAAATTAAATCAATAATAGAATAATGAAATTAAATAATATATATTATATAAATTGTTACTTTATTTTATTAATTGAAACTATTCTATAAATTAATGAGACATATCTTATATTATATATAACATATAATCTAAAAATAATATTATAGTAATAAATCTATAGATCAATAACATAGTGATAGTATTCCCTGATCATAACCACAAGGTCTATAATTCAATACCACTTAAAAACCAAAAATTGAAATTATTTTTCTAATCAAGTTTACTAATTATCCTGTGAAAATTATATTCAATCATCTGGAATTAGTTTAAAACAAATTAGGTTGCAAGAAGATAAGACTTCTGGCTTTCATCAATCAGAAACTGAAACTTAAAAGGTTGTACTGC